TGGGGCCGCAAGCAAGAGGGACTTTGAGCTTCGACTAAGGAATAGAACTCAGATGGCATTCCTTGGTTGCATGAATATTTTGTTCGATTCCGAGGAAGAAACCGTTAAACTCGACATCTGCTCATTCGTTGCATTCAGTTTTTCCCACCTTTTCGTAGGCATAGATATGTAACCCTAAATGGGAATAACTGTATACCCGGCAGAAGCAGTGCGCAACAAGGCACAAACCTTGTGCACAACGGAAGAAGATGATAGAAGGGCTGTCCGGAGAGAGGCGAAGAGCAGACGACTAGTCAGTTTAAAGCATCTTGTTCCCTGTATCAGTCTGAACAAAACAATAAGAAGACGAGCCCTGCAAGGTGGCACCATTTCGTGTTATCTGATCACTTGCAAACTAACAACCTACATAGATCACGCTACCAGCTGTTGTTTTGGATTGTGTGCATTTTTTCGGACCAATTCAAAACGATCGTTTCCTTCCCTTACGTGATCTATATATGTCGTTAGTTTGCAAAGGATCAGATAACACGAGATGGTGCCATCTTGCCGTGCTTGTCGTCTTGTTGTTTTGTTCAGACTAGTCAGTTATTATCTGTTGTGTCTACGGAAACGTAAGTTACTAACGTAATTAACCAAAAAGCAAGGTCAACAGCGCAGCGGGTTGGGACGGCTGGACTTTATTATAAGGAAGGAACCCCGGAAGTTATTCGCGGGGTGTGGAACAAGGAAGCTATAAGGGTGATCTTTAAACGTTGCCAAACTTTATGTACATTGTTGGTGCGCATGCATGACCCCGTTCCAACAGATAGAACGACTACTTGTGAATACAAAATTAACTGCAAAGATTGCACGCATATATGTCGGTCAAACAGCGAGAAAGCTATGGACTCGGATCTTAGCACAGAACAGATTTATTTTGCAACGGCCGAGAAATGAGCTTGATTACAGAGCTCTGTCAGGAGACTCTGCTATAAGCATGCGCCGGCCGCTGGGCATCAGATCAGTTTGGGTAATGTCGGCATCGTTAGGAAACTTTTTCTAGTGAGGCCCAAGGGGTTAATTGCGCAGGCGATCGAAATCGCTAAAGACGATAGCTGTGGGAATAAAATGGAGGGGTAGAACTCTCGACTGCGTGAAGAGCAATCTTAACCTGGACAGTCTGGTGAGCGTTGAAATGCGGGTCACGGATGGCGAAACCGACCTCATCATCATCGCCACCAAGATGTTAATTCACAAGAAAAAGGATAGTGAAAACCCTGAGATAACCCCACTCTGACTGACCACTTGAGATGACTTTTCCAGCTGTGTCTGTAATGGTTTCTTGCTTCATAGTTCAGTTGTCACAATAGTCCCTAACATCCACTATAAAATGCTACACCAACTATGTACCCAGTCACCTGGCCTGACGAAGTTTCTTTTGCCAAAATTGCTACGTTGCCAACTAAATAAACCAACCAATTCTTCACAACTCTCAGTCGGTTCCAAGTATATTCCAGAGGTTTGGACATAAGTCACCCTGTTGCGTCACCTTGCTCCTATTTGACGGACGTCAGTGCACTTAGCGTAAAACTCAATGGCACTATCAGAGCAAGCCACTCCTGTTCTTGAAGGATGTTTGTGAGGGCGTTTCTATTCATTACATTAACCGTTAATTGGAAAAAGGTTAAATTACAGCTACTGTTCCAAATGAAATCTGCATTTGCCCGAGCCTTTTAGGTTGAGGATTAGTGAGCCTCTGGGTCGTTTTCACAGTCGGGCACCTACCCTCTTTTATCGTAGGTGGATTTCTCACAGAAATGTCACACAAGCGCCCGCGCCTTGGCTGCTGTATCTATGTGCCCTGGTTCGTGTGGGATTTGGTTCCTTTCTGTGCGTTGTATTGTTTACATGTTAGAGACTGCGTGTCAACGACGAAGGCATGCAATCCAGAGCCGCTAACTGGGTTGTAGCTTTCTTTAGAAATGGTCATGTTTGAGCGATTATGAGATTGTTTGATAGCTCGGAGACTCCTTTGTCAAACGCAAATTCGCATTTGTGAGAATTGTTGAAAAGCAACATAGTTACAGGTATGAGTGTGAGCCCGAAGGGTGCTAAAACAGCGTGGAATACAGTACTCACGATCCGTATGATATAGTTCCGTAAAAATGTACCCGTTGTATCGGAAACGTTAAGTCAATTCGAAGGAGTGTAGCATGACTGCGATAAGTGAAGTTAGGGCGGATAGAATCCATGACGCAGATGGTTGCACCAGTTATGCGGCCGTTTTTGAGCGGCACAGTTTGGAGGTCTTATAAAATACTTGGTAGCTCCTTTAGATGTTGTCTGTGTTTATGAAAACTAGAGGACAGTGTAAATGTGGATGGCGTAGTCTTTCAGTCAGGCAAGTTCTTCACAGTGGCATTCTGCAGTGTTAGGTATTAAGGTCGCAGCAGTACGCTATCTGTGCAACTGAGTTACCTGAGGAACTTGGACTATCGTCGCTTCCATTTGCAGGTGATATTAAGCTCTTGAATACGGTGTAGGTTCCTGAAGGTTTCGAAGCAATTGCTAGTGCCTTTGATGACCTATGGGTTTGTACAAACTTATTGTAAGGCTCAATAATTAGATCTTCCGAATCGGAGGAGCTAGTCTCCAAAGAGATATGTTGTTGACGGAATTAAGATCCTTGTTTGCACTAGACGGATCGATTCATGTGTCTTACACACTTTGATCTTTTACTCTGGATACATTTGAGAATAAGATCTTAGGGGTCTCCGCAAAATCTGGCTTATTCATTGTTCCCTTTATTGGGAAGTCATTCTTGGCTTCGTGAGATCCCACTTGAAATACTGTGTCCACTTTGCCCACCATGTACATTTTAGGGGCAAAATCAAACTACCTTGCAATTGGGCACTAGGTTGCTGTATGGCTTAGGAGAAAAGACAGCCCGAAAATCTGCTTATATTGTTTATGTGCTTAATGTAATACCGGAGAATTAGAGAGGACTTGTTCCGCACTTACCGTGTTTTGCCAAGAGAGATTTGCCTAACCTTCTCCCAGCTGTTTAATCCCACTAAGTACCTTAGTCTCGGCGGTCACACTTGAAGCTACAAAAACCGTCTTCTGGTCTGCTAAGGACGGAAACTTCTATATCTCGCCGAGTCACTAAACACTGGAAGTCGCTTTCGGCTTACATGATTAGGGAATCTACGGCTGAGGGTTTTGGGCATCTTTGAATGCACTTAGGTGTCAATACTAAACATTTCCATACGCCTAACCTACTTGTAACTGCACACTTCTCAAGCACTTTTTCAGTTCCTGCGAATTTGCGTTGTCATTAATCATTTTACCTTCATCCTGTTACCCGCAAAGTTACGTCACTCACTTTTGCTTCACGCAATCGGCCTGTCAGTTACTGATGGGACAGGATTTATGGACACTACTTAGTTGCAGGAAATACGGCAACATATGGAGGAGCGACAGAATTGTTCTGGTGCACTTGCAGGGGTCATTTATCAAATATCTGTTTATTAAGAACTTATATGAATTATCGATGCCACTCTAGATGCGACGACTGAAGCATAACTTGGTGTTGCTTTACAACTTGTTACACAAAATGACCTATTCCTGTCTGTCTAAAATTGAAATGCAACACAGAGCAGCTTGAGATATTTGTAACAAAGGTTTTGCACTGGTTATACTAAAGGCTATCATAAGCATTCGCTCAAATTGATACCTGATCAGCTATTTGTATCTGTGGAATAAAGTGTCAACCACAATATAGTGATATATCAATATTCTACTATTAAGTAATAAGAAGCTAACTTGCCTTGACCTTAATACCATAATGACTCTATTCGCGAGGGAAACATTCCTCGATGATAGGTCCAAAAGCATTTACACACCCACCTTTCTAAATCTTGGCTTTCGCCTCAAACATTCACCAAAACGGTAATACAGGAATTACATTCCCCAATTTCATCATACGCATATCGTTCAAGTAAGAACACGGTTAATTTCGTACCATATGGGCTGTACTTTTGTAGACATAGTTTCCGGGTCAGGAGAAGTACACATATTATTTTTTATTACTGTTCTCTCCAATGTACAGCTAATCTCTGTTCAACTTTCTGATAGGGACACCGGTGTTGGAACACAACGCTCAATTGTGACTATTGTTGGCGCTTGTTTATCGTTAGGTATCCCCATCGGATTATTCTCAATTTCCCTTGTCTCTTAAAGCCGTCTGCACCTGCATGTATGTCTCTAGCTACGGTGTTTAGTCTCGACGTCAGTGCTTTTGTCGAAAACTCAGTGCGTACATCCAGATGGGATCCGCGACTCATACGGTGCTATGAACTTCACAAAAGATGTACTTTTCTAAATTTTTAGACGTTAAAGCTATTACAGATGAGCTTGTCTTACTGGTCAGACATTGTCTACTTTAGGCTCACCTTTGCATCGCTTGGCATATGTCGGTTGCTGGTGATCCGCTCGGGTGGCTTATGACGAAACACCTGACATAAAACATGTCTCGCACTTACTTTTTGTCCCCTCTCGTTCGAAGTATGGAAATCGATAGCAGTTATACATTGTCTGGATCTTCATTTTCCGAAGTTTGTCGCTGCGCAGTTGTATAGTGTCGCTGCCTAATTACATGAAATGCGGTTCTTTTTTGTGCACTATGTCGTTACGAAGACGCCTCATTATTCACGTTTATGTTCTATCTTTTCCGTAAGACATGATTCTAGTAATAAGTTTTACCTGTAATGATTAGTGCCAGTCATTTGATCCTTATTAAAAAAGCTAAATTACATTGTAGGAACAAGATTATGCAAGTAATCCACTCAGTTGGGCTGATTTCTGAGTCATTTTGGTTAAACTTTTAACCATCCTTCGAAGTGAGGTTTGCTTATAATCTGGTTTGTCATGTGTCCTTTTGTTTCACGTGTTGAATGAGTTAATGATTCCTGTGGTATCTGCCGCCGCAGCATTTGTTGACCGACGAACCGCCTCTCCTAATGGGTTTGAAGGTGATTATGATCCCAGAGCCTTCTCTTTTCTGTGTCATTTTGTTGTCTGATTTGTTGTGTTCTGTTTCATGCGACCTACCCGATGAATTGTTGTTTCATTACCTTTTTTTCTCAGATACGACATCAGAAGTAAGACACAGTTGTATTGCCTTGCCGATGGAGAAGACAATGGTCTTTCTTGTTGGGCTCCGCATGTTAACTCTACTGCACACGACAAAGGTAACTACTGCACACTGAATCATTTTCTTCCCATGCTATTCTACTTCCCCAATTCAAGTCCTTTCTGCCATTGTTGGTGGTAGTTTCACACAACTCTAAGTGAGTGTCAGAAGTATGTGTAAATTTTTGGTTCTGTCTCGGGTCTTAATCGTCACAAACGCATTTCAATCAGTACTCCATATTGCCATTGATTATGCAGCTCCACAGTTTGTATATGAACCGTTCATTCCGGCGTTTTCGAATCCCATCTTGCTCAGATCTCACTTGAGCGGCCGGTATGTGCCGCACAAACCTTGCGGATTTGAATGACTTTGTTGCTGAACGATTGGAAGAATTGATGTGGTTGTTCCGCTCTCTCCACTGCAGCCTACTGTCTGCGACGGATCACTCCTCGTGAACTCACGGTTTCCTGGAAGTTAGTCGTCAGTAATCGGGCTGCGGTTGCACATGCGATACTGGTCAGTTCTCACAAAGGAGCGGAAGTGATCACTCGACGGTTACCGGCTCTTTCTACTGAGTTCTTCAAATAAACAGGTTTACGTACACATGTGGTGTTTTTCCAGACTGTTTAGGCCATTCATATCCTAGGATTAAATTATAGTAACCGATTTAACAACCGGTTCCTCTAACTTCTTGTGTTTGCGATCTCCTTTTTATACGAAAGCTACATTCGATACGTTCGCACGTTATTGCAGTTCTTCAATCCCAGCCTTGATCATTCCGTTCTCCTAAACCTGTGACATGATGACCCCACCTTTCACCCTCAAGGGAATGGTTGGTTTCGGATATACGTTACGCTATTTATCGGGTCCTAAGTAATCCATGGCCTTCCTTAAGTAACTGTCAACCTCTCTCTCATATATATTCAATCGTGACCTGACCGCCTTATTATTGATTGCCTTAATTGGTCCAGTCACAAATTACTCCTGGGTTTTTTTATTAATCCTATATGTTTATTAGCACCAAGGGGTGACCTCATGCTGATGCGACAGATCTTGAGAAACCCCGGTCACGCTTACTGCCACCTCCTAAAACTTAGCCGCAACACAAACTGAGGGGTCACCAGCCGAAACTAGCCAACCAATACAGTCGGCTAGAATGCCACTAGAATTATGTTTCCCTTCGAATTTTCTACCGTGGAACGCAATTTCGATTTTTTCATTTATGATCTTAAGCTACAGACTTTTAAAACGACTTGGGAATGCATTTTACCTTCTGCATTACGATGTAAATTCTTTTCATCGAGCGACGACGAAAGACAGACACCAATTGTACTCACCAACGCCCACGAAATGGGGGTAGATGGATACATGTTTTTGTTAAAGTGGATAATGTGGTGATTCCACTGATGCGCGTTTCGCTTTAGTATCATCATTTTTTGAACTTACGTAATTCATACAAAACGTCCCCCAGGGAAATTGCAAGCCTTGGTTTCTTTTAACCATCATTATATCATTGTCTGATAAATAACATGCAGCAATTATGAACCCTCTGTTATTTACATTATCTGAAATACATTTCAGTTTCTATCGATTTCGGCTATACAGTAAAATGCTATTTCTCGACATACACCAAGCATTCGACCAGCTAACTCACATGCGGTCGATGCAAACTTGGAGGATTTTTGGATCCGGAACGCATTACTGGGTTGCTTACCGTCATACCTGAGTGGTCTCCAGCAAGTGGTCACTTCAAGTGACTAACGTTTTTCTCCACACCCCATCACTTATAGTGGCGTCATCCAAGGGAGCTTGCGCGGTCCTTCGCTGTTCCTGCTGCACATCAATTATATCGCCACATCCGTAAAACATGCTCGGCCATTTTTATTCGCCAACGATATCAAAATCCTCTGTAAGCTTCGACGTGACGAGCTTCACGGAACACTACTGTTCATTCAAGATGACTTACATTCCCTTGGGTCATGGGGTTACACGTTGATGATGAATATCCCGGCTAAGAAATTGAGTCTCATGACATACGGCTGTTCCATCCCCGAAGGTTCTATTGCAATGAGCAGAGAACATATCCTTATACGACTGCCCACGCGCGATCTCGAAATTACGTACTCGTTTGCCTTCAGCTGCATTGAGCAGGCCCATTACCAAGTAGCAAATGCCAAACAAACTGCGGTTAATCTTTTCAACAAAAATCCATAAAATATAGGCTGGAGTTGAGCCTTTTAAGCAACTCACCCGCTACATCCTCGAGTACTGCAGTATAATATACGGAAACAGGTGAGTGACGGCATTGCTATGGAACGGCTGTAGAGGTCGTTTACTAGACATCTGATTGGTACGCACTCTGCTATGAGTTATCGAGAAGGGTGCAACAAACTTCAACTCAAACTGCTTTCATTTGACGACTGAAGCACAACTTGTAGCTACTTTTTAAACTGCTACACAAAAGGACCTATTTTGATCTGTCTACACTAGAACTGCAACACAGTTCAACTCCAGCGCGTCGCAAGGAAGAGTATACACTTGATATAACAACGGCTAAAACATCCATGCTCACAAATGTTCCCTGGTCACATAGAGCTATTTGTAGAATAAACTGCCAATCACACTCAGATCATGAGGCAGTGTGGCAACAACTATTATTAACAAGCCCTCAAGTCACCTTGACCTGTATACATGATGAGTGCATTTACATGAGAAATATCCCTCGATGAGCTATTCCAAGAGGGGCCCGAAAACGTCTAAAGATCAACGTATCCAAAATTTGCCTTCGCCTCAAACCTTCCGAAAAATATTCTATGAATCTTTTGCCCTAACTTTACACATATGCATATTACACACGAAAAAGCGTAGTCGATTTTCACATATTGATCTGCGCCGCTACAGACAGTTTTCAGGATCATATGAAATATAAGTAACATTTTTAAAATCGCCCACTCAAATTTTGGTTCAACAATGCGTATTAGAAGGAACCTTCACGGGGGTATCCTACGGTTCAGGTTCATATTGAACTTAAACTTAAAGGGAGAAATGGCGTATTTAATTTTGCGTAAAGACGCAACATGAAATTATGATCAGCATTACTTGAAATTTTGAGCGATTAAAACGTACTTGATTTGCAGTGTGGCACAAAGAGAATTCCGTCGGTTCTGAACAGACTCCAGCGGGATGCTTGACATTAGTTTTCATCTACAAGTGTCAGGTTATATTTCAGCCATGCACTTGATTCCCATAGGCTCATCACAACTGAATGAAGAACGGTTTATCCGTCCCTCGTCTAGCTGACTGCTCCGTTGACAACTATCCCTATGAGCTTACTACAGTTACGGATTGCTGGTGGTTCCAAACATCTGCAGAGTCTGTGGATGCTTACAGAATCCTTAAAACCCCAGCTTAATTGATTTCCCAAAAATCTAACGGTGAGCTTAATCAATAGAATGACAGCAAACACAAAGTGCCAGAAAATACCGCTATAAATACGGGTAATCAATTGACGGAATTGCACTTGGCCAGCATTGTGTGCAAGTGTGGTCTTGGAGTTTGATGTTCGCCACTGGACCTTCCCATAGGAAACTTTGGCCGGTTGTAGACATATGGTGAAAACTTTTGCACTAGTAAACGCGGTCGGTGAAGGCACGGAACTGTATGCGGTTCTTTCCTGCAGTAGCAAGTTAAGGCGAGTAGCAACGATAACACTGTCACTTCGACGATGAGTATACTAACCTAAAGCAACACCAGCTTCAGCAAACTCATTTTACAAACTAAACCGGGGCTCAAACACCCATCAGATTTTGAATGGTCAAATGCAACCAACCATCTCAGACACAGTCGTGAGGCTTGCTACTGCTTGTCTTCAGATGTGCTGACATTATTCAAATGTTTATCGATCACCAACTCCTATGGGGAAAATGTAGAGAGATTAATTCTTCATTGCCAGTGGAGCCACTCACTTTAATGGGCAAGAATTATGTCGCTTGTTTCAACTAGACCCTCTTTTTTCCGGAGGTAGCAGAGTGAACAAGCAAGAGAAATCGTACTGCACACACACGCATTCGGACGCAGTGTCCCACCGTTTATTGTCAAATTTCAGTGTGTCCAATCGAAACCCGTTTGACGAGTGACATCTGAAGGTCATTACTTCTTTTTTCTGGCCTTTTGTCCTAAAACCAGAATGTAACCTTGTTCAGTGTGTTACCCAAATTCTCGGAACGATACCACTTGTTGCCTGAAGCCAGTGCATCGTGCTATTGATTGAGGCCGTGCTAAATGCTATGGACGCATAGCCGGTGCGATAGGGTTAAGGTGATTGCGCATAACATTCTGTTCTCCGTATCACAATGCTTGTCGGAAAGTGTTTTTGCACATTTCAGTAGTTAATTAATCATGCTAATTGAAGATCTCAAGTTAAATCACTTAATGTCCATCTTCCGTGATCTCTCTGCATTCGTTCGTATTCACCCAGTTAGTAACAAATGTTACGTTTCACTCAAGCTAACGAGATAGCTGAATTCGTTGATTTGCCTCGCGGTACCCAATGAACGCCATCCACTTTTTAAGTGTTCATACAGACTTGCTCTAACACACAATCGCTGCAGTGAAATTAACGAACGTATAAGCGAGAATCTGCCCATAGGTGTCTGAACAATATGGGATTATTCCAGTCGCTTTAAATAGCAAGCACAACTGACACTGTAATCGGAATAGAATTGCACGTAAACTCGCTAAGCTGAAATAACACTTGCAGAAGGCAAGCAAATGAAAGGTACCTCCATTTAAATTTGCATCGGCTATCCCCATCGTCGTCGTGAACACAACGTACCGTTTCAATGCCAGTAAAAACACACGGCCAACAGGTGCCTCTGCTAATTAACAAACCTAAGCTCAGGATTCACATAGCCCTGTGAAACTTGGCGATTTGCACGCTTCGTGTTTGCACTCGTTGCAGGTGAATAATTCATTTCCTACGGCCGGACTAAAAGTTCGTGGCCAAAAGCAACAAATCGCGAATAGTGCATGTTATCTAGACATGGTAAGAGTAAGACGGCCTTGATGACCTTGGAAGCATTTTGGACAAAAGGGAGGTGAAAATATTCCTTCAAAACTTGTATATTCGTAGTAGATAAAGTAAAAACGATTTTCAATGAAGATGCAACGGCCGACTGAAAGGCCCCATCTAAGGTAAATTGATCGTGGCGATTGAGCATATGCTACAGAATCTGGGCTGGGTATGGAGCTAACGTAAGTAGAGATCAAAAATGATGACAGAATAGTTACTTGAAGGATATCGGAAGTCGTGGTAAGCGGCGAGGGGATTCTACCACCAAACCTAGTCACCTGAGTACGTCTGGCAAAATAATGCTTTACTAAAAAGACTAAGGAAGTTTGAAAAACATAAGTTTGTAGATCTTGCAACAGTACTGCACAGTTAACACAGCCAAAAGCGTTGCCTTAGTAGAAAAAGCAGACACGTGCCGATATTTCCTGTTGTCTAGCGAGGACAACACTTTGTACGCCAGACTAGCCACTGTTTCTTATCTAGACCTTGAACCTCGATAAGCAAACCTATATGGGTCATCTAAAGAGG